TTGTCGAGAATCTAAATCCAAATGAAAGGTCTCAATTATGGGAATGAGAGTTTTTTTTTTAGAGGTTTTAGGTTTGAACAGTTACGTCTGTAGAATGTATGTGTGCCTTCAATAACTAATAATGATTCTGAACATATATTATCTTATAATCATTTTAAAAATTAAAATTAAATTGTCGAGAATCTAAATAAATTTTAAAAATATCAATAATGTTGCTGTACATGTGAAACTTCACTTGGGGAACAGATTCCCCTTTATTATGGAGCTGAGTAAGTGTAATGATGGGTGGAGGTTGATTCTTACATTTAGAAAGTCGTACGGTAGTAAATGTCGTACATCCCTAATAAAAGTCAATGTGCCCTAAAATCCTAACTTCTTTTATTTACGGTAATGGGCCAAAAACGCCTAATTGTTTATGCATGGTATGATCTATAATTATATTTTGTTATTAGTTTGAGAAAAGAGAACTACCCTCCTTTTTGGTCACAGTGCAGTGGTGTTTTTACTCTATTTTTTTGTCGTTTCAATGTTAATTTGCTAGTCTTTTTTTTATCCATTTTTCACTTTTGAGTTTTCTTTACCTTGATGAAATAACCAAACACGACACTGCATTCGAATGTTAGCCAAGTTGTTATTTTTTAGGTGAAGAGCAGTGAATAAAAATGACTGCTATTCGTTATTTGCTAATTGGTATTACAATTTTTCTATTTCTGAACATGAAATATTGGTTTATGAACGATTTTATAGAATATTTAATTTTAAATTTTTTAGTTAAAAATTGAATGTACTAAATTTAAATAAAAATACTAAGTTTTAGGTATGTTTTTGAAAATTTGAAAGTTTAGGTATTAAAATAGACCAAATTTGGTAGTTTAAGTACTAAACATGTAACTTACCCTTTTATTTTTTATATTTTCAATTGAAAATCTATTTTCACCCCATTAAAATTTTATAAGTTCGACTCCCTTAGGGTTAAAACGTCATTTTTTTTTTGCTCTGCTTTAACTTTTGTAATTTGCTAGGATAATTTTCCAACTTTTTTATTTCTTTGTATTATGCATAGTCAATTTGGATTCCGGAAGATTTCTCGGTAATTGTCAACATAAGCTATCTAGTGACTACTTTTTAAAAAATAATCAATATCGATCTTGGAGCTTTAAATTAGGTTTGTGAATTCTTGAATAGGTTCATGGAATTGTTTTCCTCGAAAGAGATTTTTTCTTAAAAAGAATTAATAAAAAAAAGAAGGATCAAATCGCAAAAATGGCCAATTTCAGAGTATTTAAATAGCTTTTTATTGTCCTTTAAAATCCCAACGTAAGGTTTTTTCTCCTTTCTTCTCATATGAAAAATCCTGCAAACTCCACACCAGCGTTTTGAAAATCGGACCGGACAGGCTGGTTCAACCGGGAACCGCTTCCTAGTCCGGTTCATTCTACATCGGTTAAACCGTTATTAGTAAACCGGAAGGAACCGTTAAACAAGTTGTGAACCGGTCAAATCGGACCGGACCGGACCGTGAACCAATTGAAAACCGATAGAATCGGCTGAAAACCGATAAAACCGATGTGAACTAGTTGAACACCGGCAAAACCGGTGTGAACCGCCGATTTTGTTTTTTTTTTCTAAAAAAAATTAAATCAAACAACGTCGTTTGTTAAACGAGCCGAGTCGAACCCGAGTATTGTTGAGCTCGACTCGAACTCAAAAACTTTAAAAGTAAGCTCAACTCGACTCAAAAACTTACGAGCTAAAAATTATCAAGTTCAACTCAAACTCGAAATATAATATTGAAACTTGAACTCAAAAAGGCTCGAACTCAAAAAAAAATTAGAAGCTCGATTGAAGCCTGAAATTCGAGCTCGATTGAAGCGAAATAATAGTTCGCTCTGTGCTCACCAAAAGGCTCTATGATTATGAATGCCAAATTACCTCTATTATTTATAGAAGTTAGTTGGGACGCTCCTCTATGTTTCTTAGCCATGCGAGATTGTTTTGTTTTCATATTTTTACTCTTTAGACTTTTGTGATGCTCTTCTATGTTTCTTAGCCATGTAGGATTTTTTTTAAATTAAACCAAACGACACCGTTTGTTATGATTTTTTAGCCCCAAATTTATTTTTTGATTATAGTTATATAATTATATTTATTATTTAATATGTTTTACCTTAAATATTATGTTATAGTTGATTTGAATCATTTTGTTTCACTTGATTTTATGATTTTTAATTTATATATGTTATAACTTGCTTTGAATATGACTTGTGATATAAAAAACTGTTTTTTATTAAATGTTTTTGGTATTTTTATTTAATTTTTTAAATAATTAATTAATTATGACGTCGTTCGGTTCTTCCGACTGATTTGACCGGTTGAACCAGTGAATCGGTCGCACGGCCGGTTCGGTGACCGGTCCGGTTCTAAAAACCATGCTCCAAACCCTTTGTTTTCTTCTGAAATCACACTAGCAAATTTGTTTTTCACTCTTTTCAAATATCATGTTCCTCTTCAATTTTCTATAAAATCATTTAACATTTTATCTTCTTGTTAAATACCAAATTCCTCTTCCGTTTCCTATAAAATCATCAAATTTCTTATTTCCTTTGTCTAGCAAGCTATGGAAATGAAGAGATGTGACTTGTGTTGAATTTCCTATATATTTTCATATGAAAATGAAAATATAAAAGAGTCTTCTTTAGCATTAGAGCGTATGAAAATGAATTGTTAAAAGTGTATTCCCACATATGAAAGCATGACAATGTTGATTTTGCCATGATGCAAGAATTATTGTGAGTTGCATACGGAATTTTCGTTTAACCTTTGCTATGGTGTTTCATTGGTGAGACATCATGAAGTCGGCATTATAGTGTTTAACCTTTGCTATAGTGTTATATGGTATGTCGATGATTGTTGAGTTTAGGCATGTATGAGTGCAAGAATTGTCACTTGGTGACGAATTGGAGTGAAATTTTGATATGTAAACGTATTCAAAGTGTTTTTTGTATGTAAAATTCTATATGCAATTGTGTTTTAATACTATATGAAATGTACTTGAGATGTGATTGAAGCGAAGGGGAAAATATGAAAACTTTTCACCCACTCACACATTCCTTTTAAGCTTGCAGATGTGTATTCATAAATATGAAATGCTTTTTCCATTTGTTATCATCTTCGCTTTGAAATGGTTTTTGAACTTCATAAATATGATGTTTTGTTTGTTAGTGTGATGTTAATCGAGTGTTTTGAACGTCAAACATGTTTTATTATCAAATTGATGAATGTATTGTTAAACATGCATAAAATGATGTTATGTGTCCTTATGCTACCCCTATAAGTCTTAATAATATAGAAAGACCATAGATTGAATGTTTATATAGGTATTGGAAATGATTTTCGAGGTTGAAATAGTTATTTATGGTTTTTGGTATGAGGTATCAATATCGTATAAAATTAGAGTAAAATCTAGGTAAAGTGTTCAAGGAGAATGGTTGTCCATTCAAAATGCATCGATATCTATAAAAATTTATCAATATTGACCCTTCGATATCGATACAAGACTTTGAATATCGTTATCGAGATCCAAAGTTAGATTCCAACACGTTATTTTGTTATTGATACTGTCCAAGAGTGTCGATACCCTAAGCTTGAGTATTAAACATTTCTTTGGTATGGATACCTATTAATGTTGTTAAAGTTTAATTTGGTGTCTAAATCGATGATTGGAAATGATGTATAATGGTTAGATGAGTCTAAAATGAGAATTTAATGACCTAAAGATAAAAAAACAATCAGGATACCTAATTACAGATATGTGATTACACATAGATATCAGATATCAGTGTCTAATTGCCCTCTATGCCAGACAATGTATCTTAACTAGACATTCCATTGTATCAGAGTGTTAATATCTCGTTTTGTTTTTTCAATAGTAACTATTTTGTAAATTTTCAGGAGGAGAATAAAATGTTCTTACCCGTGCATTTGCCTATGGAGGCTAAGGGAGCTGTACTCTTAAGTCTCAACAGTTTAGCTAACTAAATTGTAATGCGTACCCAGCTCGGTTGGCTGAAAGCACAAGTTCATATTTTTATGGATTAAAAATATAAACACCTTCAAACCCTGACATTTGCGAAGTGAGAAAATTGAGTTGGGAGTGTCGTTATCGGCTCTGCAGTACCTGATCTGAATTAGTCGATCAATATATAGATCGGATACCGGTGTTGCTCTTTGTTCATTAGTCAAACTCGTTACCTGTTATGCTTTATTAGACTCTCTTTTAAGGAAATAATTTCCTAAGATAATTACTAAAAAAATATTTTAAAAAATTAACGAACTGCACGCAATTTATTGAGTTAAATTGGACTTTGTTTCAAATTGTTAAGGTTTCAAGTCAAGTACCGATAGAATTTTGACCAAATTGAAATCGAGTAATTTACAACCTGCTCAACTAATTAAGAAGACTGAAAACTCAAAGTTTGAAGGATCAACTAATATTTTAAGCAGTTCAATACTCGTCATGATAGTATTCTGTCCGCTGGATGATGCTGAAGCCGAACCACAAGATGAACGTGCAGGAACCAACATGTTATGTTAGGCTTTTCACATTGAAAGACGTTTGTGTAATCATTGAAAAATTCATACGTATTTTTACTTTTCTCTTATAGTTACAGTCTGGCATACCTATGTAAAATGATTTTAGTAATCGTTCGGAAAAAAAATTGTGAAGCAAATTCATCTATTTATTTATTTATTGAAATTCAATTCCAGACTCCCTGCATGTTCTCAAATTCAAACTCAAAAGTGCAAACATATTCATCCTCTAGCTCTCTACAAAACCAGAAAAAGCACACCAAAAGTGGCAACAAAATGGTTCCACAGTTCAATAAAACCAGAAAAAAAAAAGCATATACATCAGCAAAACATCAATATAACAGCAGATTATTCTGTCATGTTTATCCTATCCAATATCTTATATGCTGGGAAAATGGGAAATGTTCTGGAAACATAATCAATCTTAACAAATGGAGGGAATTTGAGTTACCCGAGCTGTCCCGAGACAAGCCGAAAGACAGAAGCTTCCGTTAACTTTGGCTGACATAAAGAACAGGGACCAACCCAGCCATTTTACCATCCCTCCCTGGACGCTTTTTCTTCACGTAAAACCATCCATCAACTTCATACTGGATCTCAACCTCTTCTCCAGTTGTTAAGCTCAGCTCATCGTCTCCACCTGCACTAAAATCATACAATGCAGTCCCGAATTGTGGATTTCCGGAAGACATGTGATCATCATCCTGGGAATCAAAACTGCGGCCAGCTAAGGGGTTTTCAAATGAATCGTGTCGTTCAGGTGATGTATATGGTGGAGGTTCTTCTCTAATCGGAGTACTACTATAAGTAGTTGGTCGAGAACTGAACAATGAAGGATAGTTCATTCCACCAAAGTGAGATGATATGGAAGTTTCAACCGATCCGGTTGACTCCGGAGAAGACGACCCTGATGACCTCGCATCATCTTCATCCATTTCTGTAGTCTCCAAAAGTGTCTTGGCCCACATGTCGTCGTAACTAACAGAATGTCTAGAGACGATGTTCTCATCGACATCTGGTGCATCGGTTCCGGCACCAGCAAGAAATTCGTTGACCCTGTTCACTGCTGGGACATCACCAAGGTTGACTGCCCAAGCATTTACTAGATCATCATCGAGTGTATCGGATTCGGTAGCAGCCGGTTTTGATTCATAAACAAGATCAGAAATTCCAGTGGCAACAGCTGGATCATTCAAACCGGCTGATGCACTAATATTATGTCGCGTGCGATATATATCGATGAGTTTCGAACTTATTGGCCCCAACGGGAGATACTTTGCTCGTGGCACGTAACAAAACAGTGAAACAAGATCAAGCAACCGCTCATGGGTTTCATACAATTTCTTAAGCTCTTCATCTTTCCATTCTTTATTTGCATTATCATGATTGCGTATTTCCTTGATAAGGTCATCTTGTGCACTATACATTTCATCGAGAACTTTGATCATAGGAGTTATTAGAACTCCCAGTCCTGTACCACTGGCTCCTTGATCTTCTCCATTGCTGAGATGCATTTCAGATAACTGAGATTGCACACCACCCTGTGCCAAGGCATGTAAAAATTCATAGATCTGTAGTCTGAATGGCTCACCTGACCGAATTGCTACAGTTGTAAGAGCTTGAGCAGCAATAATGCGAACCTCCCAGCTACCGCTGAAAGCACACCTCTGGAGTCGAGTCAATGCACCTGCTAGTGTGGGATTACGGGAGCTGGCAGCAGCAACCATTTTATCCGCATCTAACATCATCAATGCAGTGCCGGGAGGTGTTGCAGACTCCCAAGCATATTCCGAAGCAGCATAGTTAGCATTTTCCCCAAGGAACCACACAGCTGCTTGGACCAATCTCTGTAATGCTATAGCCGACTTTGGATCAGATGCAGATACCCTGTCTACTGATGTAAATCCGGACATTGATCCAGGCTGTGGGGGTGGGAGGTCTAGAACAATAGTGACTGCTTCCAAGGCGGTGTGTTTCCCATTAGGACCAGCTCCAACAAGACAAGTTTTCCAAAGAAGTTGTAAAACATCAGCATCGATCTTCCCTGGAACTTTAGTAGCAAAAATCCTTGCAAGTTCAAGAAGAGTAACGGCCATATCTGGCGTCGCCTTAAAACGGGCATGCAATGTCAGCAAAACATCATTCAAAAGGGTTGCTGGCCAAGCTGGGTCAGAAAGCTCAGATGCAATAATGGATTTTAGTTCATCAAATGATTCATGTGGATTTTGCATCCAAATCAATCCCTTGATCACCATTGCCCGAACATAAACACATTCACATGCCACAGTTGTTCTAACTATTTCCATTAGCGAAGCTAGCATACCTGCAATTGTACCCTTGCCACCAGCTGCATTGGATACACCAGTGGCTCTTCGGATACCTTCAGGATGAGAGCTGTCATTCATATCTGAATCAAATGAATCCACAGTCTCATATTTATTCCCATAAGCTCCTTCATCAAGATCTTGTAAGCCTAAAGCATGTGCCGCAGCTCTGCTTTTCCCCATCTCCTGGACGACTCTAGCAGCAGCATGGAGTACTGGTCTAGAGAAACTACGGAAAGAACTCTCCAACCTTCTCATTACAAGTTCAATGAGCGCTTGTGGGCGCCTTGTCTTTTGAGATTTGTCCTTGGAATTTGATGGAGCTTCTGGTAACTTTAGAATCTCCCTGGTTAAACGATACCACCCTGCAGCTCGCTCTTCTGTCCTTTCGGTGCTATCATGTTTGCCCAATATACATAGAATTGCCTCAAAACAGACTCTTTCACTGGGGTCCAGCAGGAGTTGATAGAGCACAGAATTGAACTGGGATTTAATATCAGGCCTCTCATCTAACGATCGCGCCGTTGATATTGAATGGCACAACCTGGCCAGAGAAACTCTAGCAAGCACATCATGCAAATGAAGAACATCATGCAACGCCCCTCCTGGAGCAACAAGCTTTCCTAAAGCCATTGCAACTGCATAAGGGTCTCTTACGGCCAATTCAGATATGATTTCCAAAGAGTGCCGAACAGCAACAGGATCGGCAAACAAAATCCCCTGCGCAGCATGATGCAAAAATGCTGGATTTCCAGGATCTAAAGGAAGTCTCCTCAAAGCACTTAGAGCAGCATATTGCAGATTACTTCGGATGATAGACTCTTTATCGCCGCCTTTAGCGCCAAAAATTCCTTTCTTCCGCTTTTGTGGGACATCACCAACCTTAGCAAGAATGCCAAACACATTTTCATACAATCTGGACAAAATCTCATTGTTGCTTGAAGGGGCATAAGTAAGTGCCTTCAAAGCTTGTAATCTTCTGGCATGGAATTCAACATCAGTGTTTGTGGCCTCTTTTGTAAGCTGATTAACAATCAGCGGTACAACATCAGCCCTCGTTACACCTCCACCTGCATCAATGTCAGCCAAAGCATCCCAATTGGGTGTAGGGATCCCACCACCTGGATTTAGACCCTGGGAACCAGTATCTGCTAAAATTCTCGCCAAGTAATAATAAACATAACGTAGGACCATCCGATCCTCACATTGCTGATCGAGCATGAGAAGAGATGGTGCCAAAGAAGGATCAACGGAATTGTAAACAGCAAGTTTGGGAAACACGTGATGCAACAGTTGCCTCTGAGAACTTTTTTGATCAGACGTAGCGGATAGTTCGTGAATACTTCTCGCGAGTTGTACGTATGATACAGGCTTCTTCTTCTGCTTCTGGTGAGAAATAATGTTCGCACGGACGGGGTTGAAAGCTGCCTTAGCGACGGAAATGGTGTCGTTTTGGATCTGCATCAGTGCCGCTCTCTTGGACTTCTTCTCCCCCAACGTGGTCTTGGTCGACGCATGATGTGGCTGTTGAGGGGCGGATGGAGACGCTGTCGCCTCTGCCGTCGATGAAGACGATGAGGATGATGTCGCCGGAACTGGCGACGGATCTGCCGATATTAGATCCATGAGCGTCGTCCCCGAAGAATCCTTTAAGAAAAGGTAAAGAAAAGTATATCTTATTAATCCTATCTTCTATTTTTCTCCACACTAGAAAATTCGGAGCGAGTGGTAGAGGAACTTACCGCCATGGTTGTTTAAAATTGAACTAAACCGTGATCCACCCGTTCTACAAGCAATAAGGAAGATGTAGATCTGACAGGTGCCGCTGCGAAGAAAAGTCCACAGAACTTTTTTTAGATGGAAGAAGGCTCGATACAAAAATAAACTATATTTTTTAAAAAGGGTAAAATATGCAAATAGTCCTCTATCGATTTTGAGCATCTGATTGTATTGTCAATAATGTACTGAATGATATTTTTAAAAAAATTATTCTAAAAATTTAAAAATAATATTCATATAAAAGCCATCATGAAAACATATATCTCATACATGCTTATAATATTTCTGAAACTAATCCTAATCATATTATATAATTGGTCTCTTATATATATACTAAAATACGATATCAATGTATACTAAATTAATTCTGTATGGTTTTTACAGTTATATAGAAGTCTTATTTTAACAGAGTAACTGGATAATAACGAGTTTGTTTTTGCATAAAAATATTATTATAGATTTTATTTATTTATTTTTATTAAACCTTTTTCAAAAAATGTATATAATTGAATCAAAAGTGAAGACAACAATTCTTGAGAATATCTTTATCTCGTGGTTGGCAATTCGTTTATCTGGATAAAATCTTTGTTCCTCAACAATAAAACCTTCTTCCCAAATTCAACAATAAATAATAATTAAAAAGCAAAATACTTAACCATTGCCGTTTCTATTGCTATTATCGTTGTTGTTATCATTTCTCATTACCGTTGTCATTGTTATTTTTATTGCCATTATCATTGTTATTGACACATTGTCCATTATCAATGTCATTGCCATTCTGTGGAATTTGAAGGATTTCTGGAAGTTCTGAGGCCGGCCGGTCACCGGCGCTGCCCTTCGTCGGCATACCGATCACTTGCCCTGAGGCATCCTCCCCTCCGCCGCGGCCAGCTTCATAAAGTAATTTCCTCCAGACAAAGGTTTATAAGCGTTTTGTCCGGTCTTTTCTTTTCTTTTTTCTGCTATTCCTTCATAGTTCCATAGCAAAATTCTACAACATTTGTCTGGAGTTTGATATTATACATGTGACAAAGATGTTTTCTTTGATTTTTTTAATCTAAATTCTTTGATAAAATTATAAGTAGGACTAAGTTTATGAGTTTTCTCGACAGGATCTTCGGTACATATTTGGCAGCCAATCATGACTGCCGATACCGAAATTACAGCCACCTCAAATTACTGGTTGAATTGGAGGTTCTTCGTTTGTGCGCTTTTCATCTTGTTCTACTTGGTTGTGGCCACAATTTTAATTTTGAAATTCGAAGGCGGTCGAAAATCGAATCCTCGGGGTCGAGATAATCAGAAGGTAGCTCCGGAGGTGGTATACAAGGAGGAAGCTTGGAATACATGTCTCGAAAGCATTCATCCTGCTTGGCTGCTCTGTTTTCGAATGTTCGCTTTCATCACGCTATTAACATTGCTCGTGATCAATGTCTTCATCGACGGAATGAGCATATTCTTCTTCTATACTCAGTGAGTGATAAACATATATCTATATATATAAACAGCTTATATATTCTGCAAGCTGCATTGATTCTAGTTCTACCATTGCGGACTTACCTGATGATTTATTCTCTATGTTCCTGAACAGATGGACATTTACCTTGGTCACAACATACTTTATGGTACGTCTCTGGTACCATTTTTATCATCTCCATATGTTCATTTCGAACAACGGTGCTTCGTCGGTTTTCGATTGCTGATATTCTCTGTTTTGATTGTAGTTTGGATGTGTAATCTCCATTTATGGATGTCAAAAACACTGGGCACAAGCTCGTCGTGGTAGCGTCAATGGTGTAAGTTTAGATACTGAGCAAGGCACCAATGAGTCCGGACATTCAGAAGACCGCAAAATAGCTGGTGGATGGATTTATGCCTTCCAAATTATGTATCAAGTATGTTTTCTTCTAATCAGTTTACAAAAAGTTGTGCAAAATACCTGAACATTGTCTCAACTGCCTTTTTCACCTGATTTTTTATTTGTTGCCTCTTTGAATAGGCTTCTGCAGGTGCATCAATGCTCACTGATTTAGTATTTTGGATCATTCTTTTTCCGTATCTGAGGTCCATACCGTATGGTGTGGATTTGGTAAGTACGACGCCGCAAACTCTAATTTTATTCGGAACTTGTGTTGCGGTGCACATGATTGAAACCATTGTGACTGCAGGTGCTTATTGTCTGTATGCACTCTGTCAATGCTGTTTTCCTACTCTGTGACAGTTTTGAATTGCTTGGTGAGTTTTGCCTCTGTTTAGTACTCATGGTTACATCTCATTTTGAGTATCCTTCGACAAAATCATGAAGCTAATTGTACCTTATTTTCCCCTTCAGCGGTTCCCCTTTTTTCGAATTGCATACTTTTTCTTGTGGACCAGCATCTTCGTTATATTCCAATGGCTTGTGCATGCATATTATAACCTTTGGTATAGTTCCATGTCCGTTTTACGGATTTTAGCTGTTTCTATTTGGTTAAAGTCTTTACTCTCGTATTGTGACATCCTTCTCTTTGCAGGTGGCCATATCCATTCCTCGACTTGACACCGTTTTATGCTCCGTTTTGGTACACGTTTTAATCTTCGTTATGCTACACATATGCACGACATTATCTGTGTATGTTGCTAACCGTATCCATTGCTATTTCGGACCGAACAGGTACCTTGCAGTTGGAATGATGCACTTACCGTGCTATTGTGCCTTTGCTTTACTCGTTAAATTCAAGGAATCTTTACTCTCAAGGTTGTTCCCTGAGTCCTACCGTAAAGTCACATAAAAAGGAGGAGATTTCCGGTGTAGAAACTCCGGGTTAACTCTGACGGCTAGCAGGAAGAGTACGAGAACTCGGTGTCTTCATTTCGGTTGGGTACTAATTATTCATGAAAGTGCAAGCTATAGAATCCCTGGTAGTCAGTTTTATCAAATACCAGGATTCAATTTGTACAATAACTTATGGTACGTTTGTTTCACGTAAAACGTTTTCTGGAAAATGTTTTTCTCGTATTTCGGAAAATATTTTCTTCATTTTTCGGTGTTTGGTTGGAGGAAAACTGTTTGGTAATTGTAAAATATTTTCCTGATCAACAGAATTTCCTTTGTGTTTTCTAGAAAATGACTTACGGTCTGATTTTCCGTAAGTCATTTTCCCAACTTTTTTACTTTAAAGAATAAATACTCAAAATCATTTTATTTTATGAATTTAATATTAATAAAATGTTTTAATATCATTTTAATTAAAATATTAATTATTAAACTATTTAAAATATATTTATTAATATTTCTAATAATATAATATTATTTTTTTAATATTATAATAAAATAATCAATTATATTATAATAATATAATATAAGATATTATATTTTTATTTTAATAATATATAATAAATTATTAATAAAATTTATATTATTTATTAATTTCATAGAAATAATATTATTAAAGTATTAATAATGAATAATATTATTTATATATTTAATATTAATATAATAATCTAATAATATTTTAATAAAGATATTTAAAATATACTAATTAATATTTTAAAATATAATATAACACTATTATTTTAATAAATAATTAATATAATTTATAATATTTTTTTTTCAATAAAATATACCAATATTAATATTTTTATTAATAAAATTATAAAAATAATAATTTAATAATAAATAAATTATTTAATATTTTAAAAATAATAATATTAAATTTTATGATAAATAATATTAATTATTGTATTTAATATTTGTAATAAATAATTCTTAAAAAATTAATTAACTAGTAGAAAAAGGGTTTAAACAACAACGTAAAACATTTTTAAAAAAATATATTTTAAAAAATATAATTTATTTTTACGAAAAATATTTTTCGAAAAACGTTTTACGTGAAAAAACATACCCTTAAAGACACCCGAGATTGTTTCACTTGCATGTATAGAAAATCAAACACCCCAGGGTTAGGGTTCTTTCCCTAGCATAGATCTTCGATTCTTTCGCTACGAAATTCGAGGTTCTTCGGTGTTATTCGCCGGAGAAATCGCTGTGAGACATGTATGTTCTTGCCTCAGCTAAGCCAATGTGAAATAAAATCCTAAACGCAAGCAGGGTTTCATGAAATTAAATCAATGAAATACATTCTTATTCATGCAAATCTGCAAGTTTGTCAAGAAAATTAGATGCAAATCTGATAAGTTAATAAAATCTACAAGAATGCCTAAGATGAATCCAAAGATTACAATGAAAATTTTCATAATCATTTCCAGCTGTACTACTTCAATCAAATACAAGGAAATTTCTCCTGGCCAGTACGAGACAAGACGCCTTAACTCTATTACCAATCAAGTAGTTATGCAGACAGTTACTTGAACAGAAAACAAGAACACTGTTTGGATTCTAGGAAAATGCTGGAACAATAAAGAGTTTGGTAACGAAAATGATTATTACAGCAACAAAATGATTGAAAAAGGGCAGCTGATAAAGCCAAGGTCTATCAGCTGAGCTGCAATTGAAAATTTATTTAATTTTTCACCATAATTTACAGGCTAGGAAGAACGAGAGATATCTGAAAATGAGAATGGGGAAATTGGACATGTCTTTGTCATCCTCTTCATTTGGTTTCAACTCTCAAACTCTGGTATTGCACAGCCTGTAGAGTTATGTCCATAATTTATTGTCTGAATTGCATCAAATATGTATAACTCAACTTTTACGTGTTTTCCCACATCGGGGAAAGTACACATTTATGTTTATTGTTTTATTTATTACTAGATTATTTCACGCTCCAAAGGAAAAAAAATGTAAAAATTGCATATATTATAAATGAATAATAAATTTTAAAAAAATCCCTTTCTTATTAACTAAATCATTTATAGGAAAAGAATAGAGTTGATGTCAATTTTGCAAAAAACAATTATGTAGGTAAAGGTTTTGTCATATTTATAAATAAAAAAATACAATATCAGTATTAAAATATAGAGAAAAATTATAATAACGAAGAGGTTAAATTTTGGAGCATGTTATGAGGGTTTGAATAAGAAAATATCAAATCACAATTATTTATTCAGATATTGAAAATAAAATTAAAATGTATTAAAATAAATCCTAAATAAAATAAAAATAGTTTAATGAGATTTAATCTCTAAAATTATATCTCGTTATCAATCTGGTATTAAAAGAATTTTTTATTCAATTTCATCTTTGAATTTTTCAACCATGGTGCATATTATCAAACTCATATTTTCCTCATAGAAAATATATGTGATACTTTAAGAATGTGTCATGTAATATATAATATGTCTTTTGAAGCATGATATATAATATATGTTAAATATGTTTTTTTTAAAAAAATATAATTTTTCAAAACTTTATATATTTAATAATATATTATATATTAGGTGATACGTTTTTATAATGTTATATGAAACTTTTGTAACAAAAAATAATAATATCGTAAATAGTGATGGATATAAAAGTATTGTTTAGATTTTGATATATTTATTAACAAAATAAATTTTTCGTATGGAACAAACACAAATAAAAGTTTAGGTAAGCACCATTAGTAAGATGACCAATTAACATAAAGAAATTTGAATTATATGATACACACGAGTCTTGAACTACATTTGCATCATCACAAGGTTAAAAGATTAAATTAAATTAAAAAAATAAATTAAATTTTAAAAAACTTATAAAGATATCAAAAGATTCTTAAATGGAAAAAAATCTATATGGATTTGAATATTTTCCCAGGAAAAAGAAAAGGAAAATACAGGCAACCAACTAACTGCCATCTTCATTAACTAATAAGTCAGAGCCTCACCAAGGTAAAGTCTAATGTGCTTTGCTTTGCTTTACTTTTGCCTTGTCTCTCTTACAGTTCGATACAAAGAAGCAAAGCATATTCCCATATATCAAGTATCAACGTGTACTTACTTGTCCGATAAATTCATTCCTCACCATTCTTATTCGCAAATTGTAAGCGCCTTAATACCCCACCTTTCTTTTTCATTGATTTCAACCTTCTTTCTCCCATTTTTAATCTCATCAAAGCTTTATGGCAATAACCACTCCAAAGTAAGGAATCTCTTCTCTGTTTCTCTTTATTTTCTTCATTTTTCATGTTGTTTGTTGTTTTAATATTCCTTCCTCTTCCTCTTCCTCTTCCTCTGCCCCTGCCTCTACCTACAGTTTTCCTTTAACATTTTTCTGAATTTTCTTTGCATTTTCATTCTTAAAGAAACTATTATTTTGATTTTGAGGATTACCCTTTTTTGAGCTTTCATTTTGTGTTTAGTTACTTAAGTTGATTTTCATTTGTTCATCATAAAGAAACTATGATAACCAATGGAGCAAGTAAGAGTAATCTCTTGAGTTTCTTATGAGGATCTTCGACACATACTTGGCAGCCGGTCATGGCGGCCGATACGGCCACTGTAAGTTACTGGTTGAACTGGAGATGCTCACTTTGTGCATTGTTCATCTTCACCACTATGGTTGTGTCAGCAGTTCTAATCTGGAAATTTGAAGGTAGGAAAAGATCAGAAGATGGAGATAATAGTAAAGAAGCTCCCGGGATTTTATATGAGGATGAAGCTTGGAATACATGTCTTAGAAGCATTCACCCTGCTTGGCTACTTGGTTTTAGAATGACTGCTTTCTTCATGCTCCTGGCCTTGCTTCTTGCCAATGTCGCTGTCGATGGAACCGGCATAATTTACTTTTATACTCAGAGAGTAATGAATCTCTACACCTTATCATGAGCTTTCTCATTGATCCTTGTTGTTGCTGATTCTTTTTCAGTATAGCAGATGTGTTTTTGTTCCTGAACAGGTGGACATTTACTTTGGTCACAATATACTTTGGGGTATGTCTCTTGTACCGTTTTCATCATCTCTATTGATCGTTTCGAAGTATGATGCTCCCTCGATCTCAAGTTGCTAGAATGTCCGTTAATAACTTGTTTATATATCTGCTATAATTGTAGTTTGGATCTGCAATCTCCATTTATGGATGTCAAAAGCATTGTGGAAATGTCGGTGGCGATAGGACTGATCATATAAGTTCAGATTTTGAAGGCACCTACATGCCACCCATCGTTGGAGAAACTGCAAATCTGTCCAACCGGTCCAAACATTTTGATACGTACCGATCACCTTATTATCCTCCCAGAGCAAGTACATGGACTTATGCCTTTCAAATCATGTATCAGATATGTCGTCCTCATTGGCTTTGTTATATTTCATGTATTCTGTAGTAGTTATCATATAGTTTAGATACATGTATGAAGTCATTGTGATTGGCCTAATGAATATGATGCCCTGGTCAAGCAGAGTTTTTGAAATTCTGGGTGAATTGACTGTATAATTATTGTTTTACCTTGAATGCTGCTCCTGTGACTTTCTCCTGAATTTTCGTTATTTCGGTGTCGAGCGATAGACTTCTGCAGGTGCAGTAATACTCACTGATTCGGTGTTTTGGCTCATTCTTTTCCCGCTCCTAACGGCCAAAGATTACGGTCTGAATTTCGTAAGTACTAGTTTTCCCGAGATGTTTCTTCTTTTATTTGTATATGGGAGTAGGACTGATGCACATCCCATGCTATGGCATCTTTGCTTTGATGATTAAACTCAAGGATTTTGCTATATGGTGGTCATCCCAGAGTCGTTTCGGAAAAGGACGCGAAAAGAGGGATCGGCGGTTGAAATCCGGAGACACCGTCTGTTATTACAAATGCCGGTAACAAGTTATACCAAATACATAATCGAGTTTGTATAGGAACCATTGTCGACATGGTAAATACATGATACAGATACTTAAACCCTTGCTCATTGTCCACTCTCAGAAGTAACATATGTTAGAGTAAATAGAAGGCTGAGATTTGTCAAACCGTTGGGTTCTTGTTAGGAATCTGTTAGTGGTTATTTACAATTTGTTGGTGGGTTGCTATTGGTTTTGTTGGTTAGTTATCAGTATTTGGGACATGAAACATTGTACTGGGCCTGGTGCCAAATTACTATTGAATCCAATTTGTTTGTTAATGAGATTTTCATCATTTCATGTGGCACATTTCTCTTTATTCTCTTGCTATTCCGTTCACCTTCTACCGTGATTGCAGTTCTCCGGCCACCGTAGATTTAATATGGTATCAAATGTTTTGTTTCCGATCCGCATCCTCGCTTCTGTTATTGTCCTTCTCGATCTGATCTTGATTTGCGAATGCCACATTCGATCACCAAAATCGATCATAAGAATAATTCAAATCTTTAAAATAATATAAAACATGATAACCATTTATTGTATTTGAATAGTCTCACTATAACTGACAATAATGTTATCCCATCACAAACCACGACACTTGTAATTTGCGCACAAATATATAAACACTAAGCTTACAAAGCTTAATGATAAACATATTTCATGAAATTTATAAATGTAAGCATACAATTTTTTATTAAGTTAAAGTGATTATAAATTACACATCTATAGAATATTTAAAATATCACACATAATCTTATTTATACAATTATAACAAATAATAATAGTATGCATAATATCACTACACATCTAGTACTATATTTCACTTTGCCTTTATATATATATATATATATATATATATATATACACACGAGAGAGAGATAAGATATATTTACATCATTTAACTTTTTTTTAATTTATATCTTTTAAAATCATTAGAATGAAAAATAAATAAATGAGATTAACAATAAAAATTAAGAAATTATATGGTGTCTGCTTACTGTTGCATCTATATATGTGTCAACTTTGGCCTTTTTTGTTTTGGTCTCTATTTGTTTGGTTCTTTCTTTCTTTGATTTTCCTTTTTGTTTTCAGTTTTAATGGAGAATTAAAAATGTGAAAGCAATAGAAAAAAATTGTTTGCTGAAAGATAATGGTGGTGGAATCAATAGTAAAGAGCAAGGGAGAGTTAGAAACAAATAGCAAAACCACATGGAATTTGTGGGGATCATCCAAAATATTCTCTCTTTTTCAAAAGCTCCTTGTCTTCCCTCATTTGGTGCTAATTCTACTACATACCCTTTGATTCGTATTCTCTCCCGGGCTTAGCTCATTCCCTAGAGAAAAGTCTTGTTAGCAATTTGGGTATTAATCAAGATCCAGTTTTGAGAAACTTTTATTTGAAGTGAAAATGTTGAAAAAAAGAAAGTTGCTTTAAAGGGTAATGGTGCGTTTAGCTTCTGTGGTTTTGATAACGAAAGAGACATAACACCTTGTGCTTGGATAAGGCAAAGATAAAGACTTTAGCTTCATGTGAATGATGACTGGTCATGGTTTTGTTGATAAGATGATAATTGATTTTGTTGAAAAATGGTGTGAATGCACCGAATTCCACCTAAAGTTGTAGCTTGATTTTGTTGAAAATATGGTAATGGGAAAATTGCTCATTTAGTCTATGGACTTTAGGGTATTTACAATATTATTTCTTAAGCTTCAACTATAAATACCCTAACCCATTTAGCTTCAAAATCATCCCAAATCATTCTAGCTTTCTCCCAATACTAGAGAATTTAGAGAGTTGTTTTCTCCTTTTTATCAAGAGAGAATTGTTATTGTTTTCTCCTTGTTAGATCGAGAGAAGTTGTAATTCCTATTTTCTAATAGTGAAATTCTTCTATCTTTGCCCGTAGTTTTTACCTTATATTATTTAGGGTTTTCCACTCAAATTATCAGTTACGATTTTGTTCTATCTGATAGTCTTATTTCGCAATAATTGGTATCATGAGCCAGATTAATGTAATATCTACTTATTGTCTTTGTGGTTGCCACCAAAAGGTGGATCCTCCAACATAAGAAAGTAAGAAGGTATTACTCATTCTTTGAAGGTTCCAGAGAACTATTCATGATAGTGAAATAGTGAGAGCTATCCGTAATAGAAGCTATGACAACAAAATTTGATATTGAAAAGTTCAATAGGAAAAATTTCTCATTGTGGAAATTGAAGATGAAGGTCATCCTGAGGAAAGACGGTTATCTAGCAGCTATCAGTGAAAGGCCAGTAGATTTCACAGATGACAACAAATGGATCGAAATAGACGAGAATGCTATGGGAAACTTTCATCTAGCATTAGTAGATGAAGTATTGTCAAGCATCGAGGAGAAGAAGACAGCTAAGGAGACATGGGATCATCTCACCAAACTGTACGGGGCCACATCTTTGTACAATAAAATTTTCCTTAAAAGGAAATTGTACACTCTCCGTATGCCATAATCTACTTTAGTGACGAAGAACTTAAACACACTGAATACTTTATTTTCTCAGCTTACATCCTTAAGATGTGCAATAGGAGAACAAGAACGTGCTGAACTTCTACTTCAAAGTTTACCTGATTCTTATGATTAACTCATCATCAACTTGACAAACAGTAACGTCACCAGTCTAGTCTTCGATGACGTTGCAACTGTTGTTCTACAAGAAGAAAATTGGCATAAGAAAAAGGAAAACAGAAAAGTAAATTTGCAATAAGTAGAAGTGTTGACAACGATGAGAGGGAGATCAACAGAACGTGGCCAAAGCAGCAGTCACAAATATGGTAGATCAAAGTCGAGAAGCAAGAAGAATTTAAAGTGCTAAAACTGTGGAAAGAAGGGTCACTTGAAGAAGGATTGTTGGAGTATAAATAAAAACTCCAATCCACAAGGCAATACCGCAAACACTTCAGATAATGGAGATGCTCTATGTTGTGAAGCGTCAACCACCGTGGAAGGTAGAAAAAGATTTGCAGATATATGACTCATTGATTCAGGAGAAACATATCACATGACCTCAAGAAGATATTGGTTCCATCATTATAAACCTGTCTTAGGAGGATATGTGTATAGTTACAATGATCATGCCTTAGATATCGTTGGCGTTGAAACCATCAAATTAAAGATGTATGATGGAACAATTAAAGTTGTTCGAGATGTGATGCACGTGAAAGGCATGAAGAAAAATTTATTATCCTACGGATTGTTGGATAATAATACAAGAAAGATTGAAACATGAAAAGGAATCATGAAGGTGTTCCATGGAGCGCTTGTGGTGATGAAAGGCAAAAAAATATCAGCAAACTTGTACATGCTGAAGGGAGAGACTTTGCTAGAAGCAGAAGCCACTGCTGCCTCATGTAGTTCAGATTCTGCAATGTTATGGCATTCGAAACTTGGACATATGTCAAAACAAGGAATGAAAGTCTTTGTGGAACAAAAGCTACTTCCAGGCTTAACAAATGTATCACTTACTTTGTGTGAGCATTGTATAACAAGTACGCAGCACCGGTTGAAATTCAACACGTCAAATTCTAGAGGAAAAAGTGTTCTAGAATTAGTACATTCTGACATATGACAAGCACTAGTTACATCCCTAGGCGGAGAAAAATACTTTGTCTCATTTATTGATGACTACTCTAGGAGATGTTGGGTGTACCCTATTAAGAAGAAGTCAGATGTGTATTCAACTTTCAAAAACTTCAAAGTGTGGGTGGAACTTGATTATGGAAATAAGATCAAGTATTTCAGAACAAATAATGGAGGAGAATACACAAGTGAAGAATTTGATGACTTTTGTAGGAAAGAAGGCATCAAAATATAGCTCACAGTGGCGAACACTCCTAAAAAAAAGGAGTGACAGAGCGGATGAATAGAACCTTGTTAGAAAGAACAAGAGCAATGTTAAGGGCTGCATGCCTAAAAAAATCATTTTGGGTAGAAGCAGTCAATACCACTTGTTATTTGGTGAATCGAGCTCTATCACTGCAATAGAGCTGAAGACACTAATGGAGATGTGGACTGGTAAACCACCTGATTATTCAAACCTCCATGTATCTGGAAGTATAGTGTACGTAATGTACAACTCCCAAGAATTTCAAAGTTGGATCCAAAATCCAGGAAATACAAATTCTTGGGGTATGCTGATGGTGTAAAAGGGTATCGCTTGTGGGATCCCACTGCCCACAAATTTATCATCAGCAGGGATGTTATCTTTGTAGAAGATAAACTACAAAGAAAATAAGATAATGATAGTGCTGAAAAGTCAGAGACTACTCAGAAACATGTGGAAAAGGAGGTTGAACAAGGAGATTCTTCTGAAGCAGAACCAACACATGATGAACAAGAACCAGAGAGTCTTGAAGCTCTAACAAGTCGTCAATCAGATTATGTTATAGAAAGAAATATTGCATACTGCCTTTTAACAAAGGATGGCGAGCCATCAACATACCAGGAGGCAATAAGCAACTT